GAGGTTGACCCCAGCCGAGTTACGCAAACTCAACAAGGACCAGCTCCAGTTTGCTCTGCGCACTCTCATAAACGAGACAACAGAGGACACATCTGCCGGCCCAACTGTGGTACAGATGGGAAGAATCGAAGCCAAGCTGGACGAATTCCTTACAAAATGGAACAAGGAGAAAGAAGCCATGCAAAAGGAAATAAAGGAACTACGCAGAGACAAAGACAAAATGACCGTAGCACTGGGTCAACATCAGAAGATGCTAGAGGCGATCGAGGCGGAACGAAGGGCGGCGAACCTCATCATTACCGGCGTCCCGGAGGATAACATGGGAGGAGCGACTACCGACAGAGCGAAGGTGAACCTGGTGCTGGCGACTATGGGACAGTCCGGCGTGCCAGTGAAAAGCGTAGAGCGACTGGGCAACCAACGTCAAGACGGTCGCGCGCCTGCCGCTGGCGGCTCCAGACCGTACCGGCGGCCGATCAAAGTCGTCCTGGCGAACACCGACGACAGGAAAACGGTGCTGGAGAACGCACACCAGCTCAAAACAAAGGACGCCGTCTTCCGCTCCATCTACGTAAAGAAGGACGTCCATCCGATCGTACGGAAAGAGCTGGATCGACTGCGAGACGCTACCAAGAGGGAGAAGGAGCGGCCAGAAAACCAAGGTAAAAACGTGCGTTACGACTACAGAGAGAGGAAGGTGTATGTTGACGACGTAGTGGTCGACAGTTACCAGGTCACTAGCTTCTGAGGAAACGAGGATAAAACTCAAACACTCGATGTGCTGTCTGTAAATATTAATGGACATCTGTCGAGACTGGAAAGTAAGACGGTGTTGGCATACCTGGAGCGATTTGACATCGTTGTATTGCTGGAGATAAAATGTAGCTATGTGTTTTCCGTGCCAGGTTTCGAGATCATCAGGAGTGCAGAGCCGGGAGGAGGGAATGGATGTGGGTCAGCAAGGGGAGGGGTGGCCGTATTGATAAAGCACAGATTGTGGTCCAGTGTTTTTGCAAAGCGCTTAATGTACGATCAAGTGTGGTTCAGTTTATCGTTCATGCCAGATGTTCGGATAGGAGCGGTATACATACCGCCAGCCGACTCACCTTATTTCAGTCCAGCTTCATTCAGTGACATACAGAGTCAAATCATAGAGACCGGCCACAAAGTTGTAATGATTGGCGATTTCAATAGTAGAATGTCGTCACTACAGCGCTTGAACGATGCCTCGCTAGGTATTTCGTATTCACAGAACATAGATAATGGTGATAATTCGCATGGCCGTATATTGTTAAACATGTGTTCAAACACAGCCGTGTACCCTGTAAACCAACTCAGTTACGGAGCTAGATGTTTCGAGGGCAGGAAAACGTTTAGAAAGCGCGATGATTGGATCTCGCAGCTTGATTGGTTATTTATTTCAGCACAACTCTTGTACATGGTGAATGAGTTCGCAGTGGACCAACAGGCGCCGTTTTGTAGTGATCACGCTGCCTTGAGAACTGTATTGACATGTCCATTGCAATCCATAGATAGTATCGTTGAGCGAGCCATGTTACTAGAGTCATACCCACAGCAGTGTAGTAGACCAAATATCGCACGCAAGCCGGTACACATTAACTCCATCGATGAGGAGAGAGCCAGAGCAGCACTACCCGACCCTGTTCTGTGGTGGCGCAGCATGTGCGAGAGCACCGCAAATAGTGAACCCCAGTCGGCAGATGACTTGTGTAACGCATTGACTGAATTACTGTATGAGGTATGCCGCACCGCGCAGCGAAGTGACCGTTCGGCCCCATCTGGTGTTGCTCAGGTGGCTTATGATGCACAGTCACGATGGCAGATTCTGTTACATAAGCGAGATCCGAAGCTTATTTGGTCTTCAATTAACTGGAATGGTAAAATAGAAACACGCAGTCCAGGCGAGAATGCGCCCAGTGACGATCATTTCTGCCGTCATTTCGAAGGCCTATTAAACCCCTCGCCCGGTGAGACTAAAATAGTTGTGCCTAATAGTGACATGTACGTACCGGTTCTAGACGATCCGATCACCACCCGCGAAGTGAGAGACGTTATAATGAGGTTACGTCGTGATAAAGCTGCAGGAGTTGATGGTGTGCCGCCAGGTATTATTAAACTTCTTGATGGAGAATGGTTGAATATCGTAACCTATATGTTTAACATGGTTTTTAACGGAGCTTTTCCAGAACAGTGGTCTTTCGCGAAAGTTTTTACGATTTTCAAAAAAGGCGACACTTCAGACGCCAACAATTATCGCGGAATCAGCATTCAGAGTGCCCTTGCTAAGGTGTATGACGGAATTCTAAACGATAGATTCGTTCAGTGGTACAAGCCTGACGACGAGCAGGCAGGTGGTAGACCGGGCAGAAGCTGTGCAGAGCACTTAGGTATTCACGCTGAGGCTACTGATCGATTACGCTCAGAAAACGAAACAAACGCTGTATATCGCGTACATCGATTATATCAAGGCATATGATAAGTTTAATCGTAGCATTCTATTGCAGAAACTGGCTGATCAGGGGTGCGGCATGAAATATCTAACAGCAGTGGCTAACAGTCTGCAGGCTAGCAAAAATGCCTTAGGGCAAGGTTTATTTACGTCTTCGGTTGGGGTAAAACAAGGCGCAGCAAACAGCTGTTCCCTTTTCACTTTCTATATCAACAGTACGGTCAGAGCCATAAAGACGTTTGGACCTGACGGTTTTCTCAGTAACACCCATTCGCTGCTATTCATGGACGATACAGTTGTCTTAGCCACATCCAGAGATGCCATGAAACAAAAGCTAGCACTATTGCACCGCGAAGTTGGCACCATTAGAATGGAAATACACCCGCAGAAGTCAAAGTTTATGGCGATTAACGCAGGGGACACTGTTCCTTTTGTTTTCGATAACGTATCCATCAGTCACACAGATGAGTACATTTATCTTGGAACACCAATCAGCAATGCAACTTTGCGTAATCAAGTCAAAGCCCACATAGATTTTAAGCGCAGTCATTTAGTGAAATTTTCCGCGTTTTTAAAGAAAAACAAAGACGCGCCATTTCCTGTCAAGGAGATGGTATTCAAAAGTGCTCTCTGTAGTGCAATACTGTATGGCTGTGAAAGCTGGCTTTGCAACGATTTTAAGCATGCCTCGACGGCGGTATTGTCCGCGGAAAAACAGCTATTGTCAGTCAGGAATCAGACAAGCAGTGACCTTGTTCACGCAGAGTTGGGATACCCAGACTTAAAGACAGTGATTAAAGAGAACCAAATTAAATTTCTAGGAAAGCTGACATCACGAGATGATTTCGAGGGCAGTCCCGCCCAGTTAGCCATGCATTTATCAGTGCAGTCGGGCTCACAAGCTGGCCGTTATGTCAACTCCCTACAAACGGAAGAAATCGGGTCACTTAGAGAAAGAAACATGGAAACCTTACGCTGTAAAATTTTAGAATCAACATCGACGCGAATGACAACATACCGTGAGTTTAATCAGAATGTCGCGCGACACCGTATGTATGAGGCAAATGTACCTGAAAACGAGCGCATCGCTTTTACAAGAACCCGTTTAGGTTCACACAGGTTAAAAATAGAAACGGGGAGGTGGTCGCGCATACCAGAGACAGAAAGGCTGTGCACGTGCGGGTCAGTGCAAACAGAGAAACATGTACTTTTAGACTGCCCAGAATCAAATTCACTTCGAGAACATTTCCCCAGATTAAATTTTTCCGGTCTAACTGTCCTTATGGATGCACACCCTTTAGATCTCGCAAGGCTATGTAAGAACATTCTTGAAAAGTATGATTCATAATATGTATTTAGATTGTGCTTCGCCATGTCCGCGGTGCTCATATTGTATTTTGTTATTTTAATGGACACGTTTTCACTCGAGTTTTATCCTTTTTATGTATATTTTTAGTGTATTGCATTATGTATAGAATTTTGTATTTTATGTATTGTGTGTATTTTATCAAGAGTGCAGTGTCAATAAACTATCTATCTATCTATCTATCTAGCGCTGGAGAGAAAGACAGCGATTAGCTCCAGATTTGGGACGCCGGTGAAAACAGGGCGCCGGAGGGCATGTTAGTCACGTGACATTTATAACTTCTCCCCCTCCGTGGGCCTTCTACATGCTAAACGTCACGTATGAATTTCACGAACCTTGATCAAATCGCCCCAGGCGCCCTGTTTTCACCGTCGTCCCAGATTTGTCTGGCCATGTTGGTAACCTGCCGCTTGTTCATAGGATGATGTGAACGGCCGATGTGAGGCATGTGGCCGAGCGTGGCATTGGAGGACCCAGGAGGCGTAACTTGCCGGTAGATGCCTGTTAGATTGTTATTGCGGCTTAATAAGGGCCTTGATCATGCTCGATAATCGGCACAGGATTGGTAAACTCTATGATCTGGCTGAATTGTAGCCGAACTATAACTGTATACAGTTATAGTACAAACCAGTAATATATTACTGGTTTGATTGTGCAATATTGTATAAGCAACGGTGTACGGTGGTTCCCTTGTTTGCTTTCGTTTACTCCCTCCCTCCCTTGTCTCCCGCGTATTTTGTTATCGCTGTATGCTAATTTGTCTCGTTTCTTTTCTTTAGCAACGGTCAACCGTCTGAGGGCGAGATTGAGAGTTACCTCAATATACCGACGGACCAGTTAACGCTCCGCCTTTGGACTGGGTCGAATGGTGCAGCCACACAGATGCTCAGAAAACGTAGCATCTCTTAAGACATTCTTCTGCTAAAACGGCAACTTAACTCACCAGGTGGGATCCACTCGCCTTCGTCTCGCGGTTCTTCGCCTCGAGGATAAAGTCGCCTCCTTCTCCTCTCGTTTCATCACCAGTCACTGTGAAGCTGGTTGCGGCTCGCAGGTACTGCTGGATCACCGGCGGTGCTTGCACCCGCTGTAGTGTGTCGCGCAAGAGGAGTCTCTGGTAGGTGTCGTTCGGTCCGGTGTAAAACACCGGCGCAAATCTCTGTCTTCCAGAGAGCATCGCGTTTGTATTGTTACGTCTGATACCGGCGCGCATCATACTGAGCGTCACCATCAGGTCAGTCAGTTTGAACATCAGCATGTAGTTGCTGTTGGACACTCCCATGGTCCAGCTGATGAACCCAGTCGAAGAGGGACTGACATCATGTGACAGGCACTCCCGCACGTACGGCACTGCGAGTTCGCGACACAAGGCATCACGTAAAACGCATAGCAGTTGCCAGCTCAAGTGATTGTCCCCCACAGTTCCTTATAAATGCCTATGATGGTGCGCTCTTGAAGCCGATCAGACTGGCTACATGCCGAAGAACAGGCACCCATAGAAGTCGAAAGAGCACTTTGAGACAGTTCATTTCTACATGGCCCAGTCCCGGCCTCAGAAGTATCCAGTCAAACACCTTTCTTGCACTCCAGGGTATGTCGCCATGATCGTGACTGTCCTCCTCGTCTGGCGACAGGCACTCTCCACACAGGTCACACTGAATCAGACAGTTGTCTATGAGATTTCTTATCAAGTCAAAAGACTGACCGTCGCAACCGACCGGAACCCACTCACGGTGACTGCCAACACCAGCCACCCGGTGCAGGTGCTCCAAGATCTCTCGGCAGCTGGCGTACGAGTTAGGGAGCACATCCGCTACCTCAGCCAGTTTCACTGACTCCATTGAGAGTGGTGTCCGGATGGCACGCCATGCATTTGCTCGATGCGAGTGGAGGACAGCCACGTCCTGGGCCTCGTTTCATAAGCTCTGCCGTAACTTACACCTTTCCGTAATTCACACCCTTTCAAACTACGGAGCGCAAATGAAGCCGTTTCACAAAGCCACAACTGGAATTGTTTACACCTCCGTAACTAAGCACATTTGCGTAGTTACCGTAATTTATCAAGCGTCCTACAAATTACAATTTCATGTCAACACTTATTTTTTTGCAAGAAATTATAAAGCAATTACGTTGAATTTAAATCGTAAAAATTATTTATGAAAAAACAAAGTCGATTTTGCTGACCATCCTTTATTAAATCAATTTATTGAAAACAGCAGAAAGCCAGCTAAGCGGAGGTGCCTAACTACGAAAGTGGCGCGGCGCGGCGAATAAACAAAATTCCGACAGTGGCCACAAAAAGCGACTGGCACAGAAGATTTGCAGTTTCTTTTTCTCATTTTGGCTGTTCTTTCTTCATCACCGGGCTCAGCATTATAAAAAAAGATAAAATTAGCTTCGAATCTCAATATTAATTCAAATTCACGCAACATTTTTGTGCGTAGTTTACACCACTGATAGCAAGAACTTGATAAAATATTTGGCGTTAATTACGTCGTTTTATGAAACCCAAATGGCATCAATTGGTCCGGAATCGAGCATTTGCCGTAAACGATGCTCCGTAATTTCGATGGCGTGAATTACTCCGGTCTTCGGCTTTGTGAAACCGAATTGGCAACAAATACGCCAAATCTGGCATAATTGACGGAACGCCGTAAGTAATTCCTTTTATGAAACGAGGCCCTGGATGCTGTCCCACACAGGGAACACTTGTCGATACTGGGGGTGTACCCCCAAGCACTGCTTACAACACCAGTTGTCAGTACTGGCATCCAGTTGCTGCCACGGCGTCCGTATGGTCGATCCAGCCGGAGTATGATGATGCGACGGCACGCTGTTCGCTTTGCACAGAAGCCAGCACGCCGCTCCAGAAGTCAGACCGGAACCGGCGATAGTTGTCGCTCAGAGTCGCTTCGAGTTCGTTTAGTTTCTGCATGTCGATTTTCAGCTGATCCACCTGCAAGCACAATGCCACGAGTCCACGACAATGTTGTGACTGTTCGTCTTGGGTAGCAACAAGCGTCCCCGACTTCGGAAGGGGTGGGGGTGCGCAAGGGAGGCGACAAGCAAAGACACATATGAATACAATTTAGCCACATTTAATCAGGAAAAAAAATGATACCAAGACAACCAAGGCTGGGCCAGCCCGGCCAGGACAATCATCTATTTCGTTTGAATGCAATACATATGGCAGAACGCTTATGCCTCGGAGGGAGGTGTATATTAATGCACATGACAAGCTAGCAAAACATAAAAAATACGCAGAAAACTCACGACTTACCTGAAGGGTTTCAAATTCTCCCGGCTTGAGAGATGCATCAATCTGGAGTGGTGCGTCGGACGCGCTGCAGGCTATGGAGGCGACCATAGTGCAGCCGCTCATCAGTCGCTGGCCGCCAGCAGAAACACGCGTCGTCCTCCCCACAACCTGATTGTTATCGAACCATAATTCACTATCAGGTGCATATACGATGTTTGGTGTCTCGCCGTTGGCCTGCAGAAAGTTTCTGTGTGTCGTCTTGGAGCCACTGGCTGTCATTACCGCGTCTAGCTCAGTGATGGCAGCGCTCCGACGAAAAGTGTTTTTCACAATGGCGTTGGCGAAACTGAATGGGCCGACAAAACGAGAGTGTCTACAGGACATCATATTTCGTAGGCAAGGACCATGTTGAGCTTTTTTTTGACAGCTTGAACTCTGACCCGATTTGCTTCCTTTTCCTGTTCCTTTGGTCATGGCTTCTAATAGACTTATCACTGGCTTGGTACGAGCTCTTAGCCACTCCGTCACGTCGAGGGCTTCAAGAGACGTGATGTTTATGAATTCAGGCATTAGTGATTCCACATCTTTAAGAAGGTGGCCATTGAGAGCACACCCGACTGCTTTGGAAAGCTCAGTTAGGCTTGTCTCTGCCATGGCGCCAGAGCCCCATGCTTCTATGACCACTTGAAGCGACAGATCAACGTCTTGTCGTTCGAACTCTTGGGCTGTGACTACGAGTCAATCGTCGTCTTTTTGCGGTTCTCTGCGCAGGGATCTGACGCCTGTACTGTGGCATCAACGCGACTTGACGATGTGCTCGACACGTCTGCGTCTAGACACATGGCATCGCTTGACCCGGCACCATCACTGTGTGGGTCTTCTGGAAGGTTCTGAGCTTTTTGCTTGCGCAGCTCACTTTTGGCATAGTTTAAGCAGGTAGTACATACATTTCTTCCGGACTTGCAGCGCGAAATGCTGAGGAAGTTTATAACACTATTCCGGATAGGCAGGCGCGGATCCAGGGGGGCGACGGGGGCGGCCGCCCCCCCCCCCCCCCCGCCATCCGAAAAAGGCGCCCATATCCCGCGGCAGAGAGGGCGCCCCGAGCAGAAGAGGGGCGACACAGCAAAGGTTCAGCAGAAATAGGGCGCCTCCAGCAGAAGTTGGGCTCACCAAGCAGGAGAGTGACGCCCAATTGCCTATTCCCAGCAGATGAGAGTCGCCCCAGCAGCAGATGGGCGCCCCCAGCAGAAGAGGGCGTCTCGTTACAAGAATATAAAATACTTTCTGTTCAAGAGGGGCGCCCCTGGCAGCGGAAGGGCACCCTTAGCAGGAGACGTGTCCCCCTGAAGAGGAGCGACGCCCCAGCAAAAGGAGAGAGGCGCCCCCATTCCGAGAAGAGGGGCGCCCTGACAGCAGCTGGGCGCCCCAGCAATAAAGGAGCCCCATAATAAGAAAATGGGTGCCACTGGCAGAAGAGGGGCGCCCCAGCAGAAGAGAGGGGTCTCCAGCAGGAGACGGGCGCCCCAAGCAGAAGAGGGGCGCCCCAGCAGAAGAGAGGCGCCACAGCAAAAGTTAATCAGAAATGGGGAGCCTCCAGCAGAGTTTGGGCCCGCCAAACAGGATATGGGAGCCCCATTGACAATATCCGGCAGAAGACAGACGCCCCAGCAGCAGATGGGCGCCCCCGGTAGAAGAGGGGCGCCCCATTACAAAAAGAAAAGGAGTATATTCTACCAAGAGGGGCGCCCCTGACGACAGCGGAAGGGCAACCTCAGCAGAGGGGCGGTGCCCCAGTAAATGGAGAGGTGTGCCCCGTTCCGAGCAGCAGAGGGTCGCCTCGCCCCAGAAAAAAAAACAGGAGCCCATTAGAAGAAAAGGGGTGCCTCTGGCAGAAGAGAGACGTTCCCCGCAGTGGAAGGGCGTCCCCACAAGAGTGGCGTCTCCAGCAAAAGAGAAGTGCCCCCTGCAAGAGAGAGGCACCCCACCAAAAGTTGGGCAGAAGTGGGGCGCCTCCAGCAGAATTTGGGGTCGCCCAACAGGAGAGGGCCGCCCTATTCACAGTAGAAAAAAGACTCCTCAGCAGCAAAGGGGCGCCCTAACAGAAAAGGTGCACTCGTAGTAGAAGTGGGACGCATCAGGGAAAAGAGGGGCACTTCTAGCAGAAGATGGGCGTCCCAGATAAGCCGGCCGCCTACAGCAAATTGGTCGTTCTTAGAAGGAAGAAATGAGGCGACTTAAGCAAAGTGGGTCTCTCCATAATGGATTAGGCGATCCAAGCAGAGGTTGGGCGCCCCCGGGAAGTGAGGCATACCAGCATAAGTGAGACGCTTCCAGAAAAAGGAGGGGGCATCACCGGGAGAAGAAGGACTGCACCAGTAAATGGAGGCCACCTTTTTGCTAATATCTTTTGCTAGGGTAGCGGTGCCCATCTACGACTTTTAACCCGTGCCGTGCTGGTGGTCTGAGTTTTCCGTGTCCTGCTGGGGAGGGGGGGGGGCACACTCCCTCGTCTAACTCGGCTCCTGGGCCGCGTAGTGACACGCGATAAGCGGCATTCGAAAGATCGCCAAAAAACAGGACGAAAACAAAACGGTCATTTTTTTTAGGTCAGGTCGAATGTCAGGTCACCAGAGGTCATCAAAGGTAAAATGTTGCCTGTTTCAAATTTTTTTTTCCGTTTTCGAAGCAGCGGCACATAACTCGGAAACCAATAGAGCTATAGCGCCGCAGAAAAGCGCATTCGATAGCCCTTTAAAGGTGTTTCTGCAAGCTGCGCTCAGATTTGACCTCAGGTCAACGGTTTAGCCTTCAGAGGGCAAACAACTCTAAAAATAGCCTTTTTACGAACAATGTTGTCCTGCAATAACTTTTGACTCAAGAGAGTCTCGACATTATGTTTGCCAGCATTGCGTTTCTGTCGTCGAGACACGTCGAACAAACTAAAGGTTGACCTTATGAAAGGTAATTTTGAGAATTTGAAGAAGAAATTCAAAACGGTTTATGACTGATTGATTTTGGAGCGAACTGACATCGAAGGTTATCGTTGCGAGCGGTTCTGACTTGTTTATTTACCTACGGAGCAGAAGGAATAAGTTACTGTTAACGCCAGACCCCTTGAGACCCTAATTTTTCGCGTTCATTTTTGAATGCGTGGAAGAATTTCAACCAAGCTCAGGACATGGCCGTTTCAAGACCTGCCGAAACTTTTATAATTTAGATATTTTGTCGCCATTTCAATATTTCAGGCACTTCTCATTGACTCTTTATGTTAAATTTCGAGCAAGATTTTCACCCGGTGTGTAGAGGCTATCACCAGTCAGTCAGTGATACGTTATGACGTCACAGCTAAGCCCCGCCTCTGTGGTCTTGGCCTGCGGCGGTTTCGGGCCGGCGCGCGGTCACTCGCGCTCCTCGCGCTGTGGCGGGGAGCGGGGACGGTCGAGCGGTGCCGAAAGCCGGCAGAGTTGTGCGTAACGTCTTTTCTGACAGTGCCCAAAGAGCGACATGATGACTGAGGAGCATTAAATGCTCAATGCGCATTGCTTGTACAAGGCTGATATGTTCGCGCATTTTTGTTTTATTTTTATAAGCTGCAAATAACAGGCAGATGGCATATACCTGACGCAAGGTTAGGAAATATTCACCTGTATTTAAAGGTAGTGTGCCAGCTTTCCTGGACCGTATGGAGTTAATGGCCCAGATAAGGAGAACCGGATTTTTAGAACTTATCCATACCTTCAAAACTCATGGAAACGTCTTAAATTCTTCAAATTTTGAGTACCCCAGTGCGATATTCGCCCCGACGGGTTGTCGGTCGTACCCCAACCACATTTCACACCACTATGAACAATAAATGCACACACTGAAATCGCTATCACCGATATGCTCATCCAATCAAGTTTCGATAAACCCGTTCATCATCATCTCCTGCGGTTTCGAACACGCCTGTTAGGTGGTGCGGTAGACCGCGCCCAAAGCCAGGGCCCCGGTAACGTGAGGTAGCCGAGTCGGGGCAGCGTGCGCTGACCCAAGCCGGGGCCGCGCGTCCTCCCGGTGTCATGTGATAGCCCGGGGCTGCCCGCGGGGATGCGGTAGACCGCGCCAAAAGCTGCGGCCCCGGCTTGGGTCAGCGCACGCTGCCCCGGCTCGGCTACCTCACGTTACCGGGGCCCTGGCTTTGGGCGCGGTCTACTCATACTTTGTGGTGCGGTGGTGGTGCGTCGGGCCGCGCGCTCTGACTTCGGCCAAGAAAATGCGTCAGCTGATCATTGTCACTTCTGCCACTTGCGTGTGGTGAAATGGGGTCATAACTTAAGAGACGGCTTTTTCATATCAATTATTTTACATAAAATCATATTTCAAACCATAAGTAATGTTCGACAGCCAAATAAAAGAAACAATACCAATACAGGCTTACAGTTTAAGGCTAGACATTGTGTTGTCTACGATTAGACAGCTGATAACTCATTCCCGTACGTCGTAACGCATTCGCGATTGTTGCCGACGCCTGTTTGCAGGTCAGCCCACTACAGTTGTTATACATATCGAAAAACCGATAAACTTTTAGGCGAAAAAGGCACTATTCCAGGCCCATTTTTGATTTTTTTTTACGGTATTAGGTAAAAGCAGAAGCTTCTTATCCTTGGAAAAATAAAATGGGAAATCTTTCAGGTTCAGGTTCAGGTTCAGGTTATGAGCTAGGAGTAGACACTGTCTATTTGGTGCTCATATCGTGGAATGCACTAATCAGAGGATGAGCTTTAGTGGTCGACTAGGGTAGCCCAATGTCGGTCAAGCCTCTTCTTGAAGGCACTAGTACTTGGTGCTGACACAACATAGTCTGGCAGCTCATTCCAAGGGGTGACTACTCTGTTAGCAAATGACATGTTTCTGAAGTGGTGCGTTGACCGCCTTTTCTTCAACTTAAATCGATGACCCCTGGTTCTTTCATTGTCTTGAAATTCAAAGAATCGTCCTGCATCTATATCAACTTTTCCTGTTACAATCATGGGTGGAGAATGTTTGAAAAAGTTACCCCGGCCGGCGACCGATAGTCGCGGGAAGACGATATACTCAGGCCCATGTCACTCCACTTTTGATGACATCATAAGGGGGTCTCAGGACAATTAATGGCGCGGTGCGCCACAATCGCTCCCAAGCTACTGGCCATCAACTGCCATTTTTGAAAATATTATTTTGAAATAAAGTTCCAAGTAATGAAAATATTGTAATAAAGTTGTAACTTAAATCTATAGCATATCTAAAAACTTACTTAAAAATGAATTATCCATAGTAAAAATATAAGCTCGATGCGTTTTTACGTTGCTTTCCTGCTGCTGCAGAGGGTTTTTAAATCGTCTATATCTTCAAAACCGGCCATTTCTTAGCATATTGCAGCATTGCTGCTCTTTTTTGTCGCTGGAAAATTAGTTGGGCTTTCCATTGACATCAACGGCTGAGCGGTATGTGTAGAGTGCCATCAATAATCTTCAAATGAAGTTAGTCATTTTTACGTTGCAAAGGAATGGAGTACCCCTTGCGAGCATCAGGGGTGACGTCACTCAGGATCCGTCTCTGATTGGTCGGCGGGGGAGTGACTGTACCTTCTATAGATGGCCTTGGATATACTCACGTTTTTCTCAACGGTCATCATCAAACCCCTATTCTGACGCATGGAATAGGATGCTGTGTTTGCTCAAGGATGAGCGTTGTATCCGACACCGTATTATTCATAACATTTTTGGAATGATCGAAAAGGCAATTTCCTTTTAAATTATCATTTCTTTTTTCTTAAACTTCCAATTTCACACCTAACCCAAACCAAACCATATGCCATTTTGAGTACCTAAATGTTGCGTTTTCAGCTTTTTATTGTGTCTCAAAATAGCTACAAAAGTCAAAAAAGACAACTCACCATAGTAGAAGCTTTACAGAGAAATTGACAGATCGAACCAAGCAAAGCACTAAAATAGGTCACTGACATCCACGGGCGTAGCCT